TTTTTAGAATTTTCAAGCTCCACAATATCATTCTACGCAGATAAAACAGAAATATTTACCATTTATAGTTTTTATTTCAAAATGACTTCATTGGCATTCGATTTGCACAGAATGATAAATATAGATGTAAACTATATAAATATAGCATATAGAATATATGTATGTATGTATGTACAGATATAGGTCACCTTGAAATTGGCAAATCCCATGGGCAAAGTGTATAAATGTGTGTGTGTGTGTGTGAGTAATTCCGCTGCAAGATCAAGTGTATTTATAATTAGAACAAAGCACAAATATCTGCACACATACTACATACATATGAACATATATAGGGATATAGATTTCTGGCCAACTTTCTAGCGCTCGTGTATGGCGCCCCGAATAACACACAAAACTTAGATAAACACCAATAAAAATTGTGTATAATATTAATAGGGCGCAACACATTTGAATAGCGAGTCGTTTACAACAATTATACGTATCATAAAGCTGCCAAAAACTACAGCAGCAACAGCAACAATAACAACAGCAACAACAACAACAGCAACAACAATTAAACAGTTGCTAAGTGTTGTTTGGGAAAATCTTTCTGCATATTTTACGACATGGCAAAACAAATGTTATTCACTCGCCCGAGTTGCTTTTATTATGAGTTTTTCTCGTAATACGAAAAAAATGCGAGCAATGCGCTGAAATTGGAACGCAGACTGCAGCAGCAGGAGTAGCAGCAGCCGCAGCACTCGAGGTAGCAGCAGGGCAGGTGATAGTCAAGCCAAGATGAGTGGGAGGGTGGCGGATGTTACCCTGCACATGCACATATTGATTGCGAGCACTTGACGTGGGCAATACTCGACGGGGGTTTCGCTTTTGATAAACGACTGACACGCGGCCTGCGCAGGCGACAAATGCAACGAGCAAAAGTTACTTAGAGCCACACTAAGCTCAAACCCCAACACCGTGTAGCCCCATCCCATCCCATCTCATCCCGTTCCCCAACCCGCTCGACAGGCCACTTGACTGCCCAACGGGGTGGCCCTGACGCCCTGACCATTTGTCTGCCCATTGGCTGGCCTAGCGTCGAGCCTCGAGGGCTGTTCATTAGTGAAGGCAGCGAGTGCAGAAGAGGGGTTGGCGCACGAGCTGTGTGGTCTCCCTCTGTGTGTGTGTGTGTGTGTGAGTGTGGGCATGTTCATGGGCTTTCATAAGTGCCCTAGGCATATAGATAGATGGCTTAGATAACAAGGTTAAGTGAGCAGCAGTCGCAGATATGATCTTGGTTACAGTTAAATGCAAATAGTCATAAAACTTCAACAAATATGACTTTTGGAGCTTGACCGGGCTTACAGTGCACTGTAG